GAGATCCTGGCGGTCTGAAAGCAGGTTTCTGGAGTTTTGTTTAGCTTCTATATTTGTAACAATGTTTCAAACTGCAAGCTCACAGGCCGTCAAGGCAGGCGGGGAACATTGGTTTCCTCCGTCACTGAAACAAGCAAGCCTCATGTTAGTTTCAAGCTGCCTGGCTGCCGGCTGCCATCTTGGCTGTCAGTTAATTTGCATATCGCCCTGATTAGCCAATGGGAAGGGTAGCGGTCATACACCAATTACCATGTTTCTCTTTTATTAGATAGGATAAGAGAGAGAAAAAAATGACACTTCTAGGGAACCCATTGCAGTTCAGAATTGAAACAAAGGAATTCCAACTCTTATCACCATCAAAGGTTTATTTTCACATGAGATTATCAAATCCAAAACTTCTTATCTCCAACTTCCTTCTTTTTCTTGACTCTAACAAACATCACCCACACTTTTCCTTGACATCCCACTCCATACCACATTCTGTTCTCCTTAATCCAGAACTATTCATTAGAAATTTAAAATTGATTGGAAGTGTAACCAAATCCTGTGATTTTTCCTGATTTATCACTTATCTCCCATTACCTCCATTTATCCCTTTTCTCCTAATCTATCATTCAGTCACAGCTTTATTAAAATGTTTCAAAGCTAGTCCTCTCTTCATCCTATACTTCTTGCATTTCCTATGGGACTTTTCTCTGTTATTCTGCTTCCCTCCTTTCCTGTTTTCTCAATCTTTCCTTCTCCACTTTACATAAACACATTCAAGTCAGTGAATTTTTTTAAATTCCCTTACAACTCTCTGTTCCCTTCTAATAACTACTCTCTCTCTCCTTCTGTTCACAGGCCAGATGAAAAAGAAAATAAAAATCTACATATATGTTCTATTCACTTTCATTCTTGAAAGGCCCTCTTATTTTGGCTCCTGGGAAAATACTTTCTATTGATTTCCTTTTTACTTTGACTACCTTCTCCTATTTATGCCTCAAACATACATGTTCCTTGGGATTGTGTTCTGAACCCTCTTATCAGTTCAGACACACTCTCTGGGCAATCTTATCCATTTTGATATATACAGTTAATGAACTTCATTTCCCCTCCTCTCTTAACAACTAAAACAAAAATCTCATCTTTCTCCTCTATTTTATTTTAATAAACCTAAATTTGCTAGAAGTGTAGCTTTCCTTTTTGTCTTTGTACTCATTTCCCCATCATTCATATGGATTATATTTGAAATAGTGTATGAGAAGAAAAAGATTAGTGTAAACTGTGTTGATCAGGGAAAGCTCCCTTGAACAGAAAAAATTAGTTTTTTCTCTTAGACTCCCTTTATATGTCTTTACAAAATATATTTAAAAAAATAATATTCAATGTTTAATTAGCCTCTTTCATGATATCATAGAAGCATCCTATTTCGCTTTAGTATTTTCAACTCCTAAAACCTGTCACACCCACAGTCTAAGCTCACTTACTGAGTGACTCATGCTGGGGCATGCTGCATGCTCCAGGCAGAAGAAGACCCTTCTAGACTTTTGTGTGCTCTTCCTGTTTGTGGGACAAGAAAAATCATTGTAATTCTTGTGAAAATCAAATGCATGCTTTAAGAAAACTTGATAAAAGTTACTAAGAAAAAAATGATGGTTAGATGTGGGCCAGACAAATGTAAATGATCAGAGAAAAATACAGATTTCTGCACTCAAATTGCTTTGCATGTATTTGAGTTCTTGTTCCATTTAAACAAACCCTGATAATGGAAATCAATGAAAATGCACTAA